CCCCCCCCTTCTCCCTTTCCCATTCTTCCCTATTCGCTTAGTTTTTATTTTTTCTCAGACTCACTTTCTGTCTTATTTTCCACCCTCTATCCCTTGCTCCCCTCCATACAAAAAAAACACAACAAAAAACAACAAAAATAGAAAGCAAAACCAACTGTGGCCCGTCCCCTTTTGCTTGATTGATTGAGTAGGCGTTTTACGGCACTATCGACTCAATTTTGGTCATGTACGAAGTCCATCTCAGAATAATGTTTCCCTGTCACACCGTCCTCACAAATAATTATAAATCACCTTATATTTGGTATCAACAGAAAGCTTATTGAAATACCTAATCAACGTAGGAACCATCAAGTTCAAGACATTTCTCCATTTGATGTACCCAGCGGTCAAAGACTGGTCAGTGACCATTTTCCTCGAATTTGCCTTGGACAAAGTGCACAAGAACACCACACTTGAAATGTCACAGCTCTCTGACCAATTCACCAATGCACTTGCAATTTGGTGTTGAGATTTCGTAGACATCATGTCATAACGTCACAAAATTTAGTGGCTGTTGGTTGCGTACTTTTTATGTTATGGAGGAGGGAAACTTTATTCTGAGACAGACCTCGTAAGTGCCAACAGGTTTTACTGCAACAAATCCATCATCATGTAATGTTTTAGTAAGAGTTTTTCGGCGCTCGCAGCTGCATATGGTCATATCAGCATCATGATAAAAGGACGGACAAACATTTATGAAAATATGTGTAAATATGGTATAAAGACTCTTATTTACATGGTATTTACAATATCAGTTTTTAGTTTTAGTAGAGGTTTTACGGCACTCGCAACTGCATAAGGTCATATGGGCGCCAGAAGATTAGAGGTGTTATAAGAGAGTAACAAACTTAAAAAAAGAAAAAGGGGAGATAAAGACGATAGATGTTTGATAGGAAAGAAGAAGCAAACCACACCAGAGCACTCGCTAACCCCCCACTTGCAACATTAATTTCAGTGTACCGCCCCCTCTTACTCATAGATGGTGGCCAGCTTTGATCCATGCGGACCCAGCGCCTTATCGTTGAATCCTGTTAGGGGCGGGTAATTGCATATCTCGCGGAACTTGGTGTAGGGAGGAATGCCGTGGTCACGCCCGCGTTGGATGTTGAGGGACACGAGATCGAATCCCGAGCCTCGGGGAGCGTTCGGAGGTTGGAACAGAAACTTGGTGAGATCCTCAGCTGGGGAGGAGGAACTCTTTTTATGTTAGTTTGTCAGTTCAGAGAGCCAGTCAGCCAGTCAGAGAGAGAGAGAGC